AGGTGGTTACAATCCTCTATATGATCTCGGCATAGAAGACAAACCAATTCCACTGCTTCTTTTATAATGCCTCTCTTAAATAGATTAGCTTTTGTTGGTAGTCTATTTAAGATTAATTGCCAATTGAATCCACAAATTTTGGTTGGGACGGACTGATTCCATACTCTTTCAAACAAGTGTTTACTGTATAAAACCTAAGGGGAAATCAAGATAGAATAGCCAGACCTTGTTGAATAGTCACCATCCTTGCCATGCTTCCATAACCATTTGTCCTTCCTGTCTTCATGGAGCTTGACTGAATCTAGCAGTTTCTCCAATTCCTCCTTTGATTGTAACTCCCAGGATAGTAGATTACGCCTCCATGGTAACATCCAGCACCATTTACCATCAATCCAGGCTCCCATTTGCCTTATCTTATTATTTGTACCAGTAGAAAGCAAATAAAGTCTTGGGAATTTGTTAGCTAAGACTTCCTCCCCACACCATAAGTCCCTCCAGAAGCTTAACTCTCCTCCATCACCCACCAGCACCTCAAACCCCTCAGAGAGCCATCCCGTTTTATTCTCCACCAGCACATCTATCCTACATATATCTTTCCACCAACTGGATCCTACCCCTCTTCCTTCCCTTACCCATGTCTTCCAATTATCATGTCCCACACCATACTTCTCCTTTATTAGTCTACCCCATAGTCCTTCTACTCCTTTTGCCATTTTCCCCCACCACTTGCCTAATAAGGAAAGATTAAAGGACCGAAAATCCTTAACTCCTAAGCCACCTTCTTTTTTACTCCTACAAACCGTATCCCAACTAACCCAATGCACTTTCTTATTTTCCTCACACCCTCCCCAAAGAAAATCCCTCCTGATTTTGTCAATAGTTCTCACAATAGTTTTCGGTGCAAGGTAGACAGAAAGCAAAAACACTGGCATTGACATGAGTACTGAATTCAAGAGTGTTATTCTACCACCAAAGGATAACCACTGACCTTTCCATCCAGAAAGCTTCCTTTTTATGGAATCCACCAATGGTTGCCAGACTGATAATCTTCTATGGTTTCCTCCGACTGGCATTCCCAAGTACTTGAAGGGCAATTCGCCAACTTTGCAATTAAGTAGGCATGACATCTGAAGCTTCCAATCCTCATCAACATTAATTCCTACCATTTGACTCTTGCCATAGTTTATTTTCAACCCAGACACTACTTCAAAAGTTCTCAGTATACATTTTGCTGCCCAGACATTACTTCTTGTGGCCTCTCCAAACATAATAGTATCATCAGCAAACTGAATGTGTGAGAATGTCATCCCATTGTTACCCACTTCTATACCATGAAATAGATTTTTTTTTTTTTTTATGGCCGAGTGAATAAGGCCATTAAGCCCCTTTGCAACAATTAGGAAAAGGAAAGGGGATAAAGGGTCCCCTTGCTTTAACCCACGGCTCATCGTAAATTCCCGGGTAGGGCTCCCGTTGACCAAAATTGACATCCTGCTAGTTTGTAAACATTCCAAAATCCATCTCCTCCACACCTCATTGAACCCCATTCTCTTCATCATATAATTTAGAAATGTCCAACATACCATGTCATAAGCCTTTTCAAAATCAACCTTCAATATGAAACTATTTTTCTTCTTTCCCTTTGCTTCATCTATAATTTCATTAACCATAACAACTGCATCCCCGAGCTGTCTTCCTTGGAGAAAAGCCATTTGATGCTCACCAATGATATCCTCCATGACCAACTTAATTCTATTAGCTAGGAGTTTAGCTACCATCTTATACATAGCTCCAATCAAAGATATAGGCCTGTATTCATCAATTTCTTGTGGGTTGCTAGTTTTTGGTAAAAGAGTTATGAATGAAACATTAGATCCTGTGACCAACTTTCCATTCTTATGGAACTCCTGTAAAAAACCTCCAATATCCTCTTTGATAATTTCCCAAAATTCTCTGAAAAATCTGAAATTGAACCCATCCGGTCCAGGAGACTTTGAACAACCGCAATCCCATATTGCTTTTTTAATTTCTTCATTAGTGAATGGAGCTGTGAGCATAGATACTTGTTGGGAAGAAATCTGCTTAAACTCCACACCATCTAGTATTGGTCTCACCCAATTCTCTTCTTGAAATAAATTTTGAAAGTGCTCAACAATCCCTTCCCTTATTTCCTGAGCACTAACCATTTGCTTACCCTTAATCTGAATGCAATTGATTTCCTTCCTTCTTTGTCTACTCTTAATGCACCGATGAAAGTACTTGGAGTTAGCATCACCATCTTTGAGCCATGCCTTTCTTGCTTTCTGCCTAATCATGCCTTCCTTAATCTTCAAATTATTCCACAACTCTAGAAATTGTTGCTTTCTTTCATATTGTTCCAGTTCAGTCAACTGTCTGTGCTCACTCTTTTCATCTAAGATTGCAATCTTCTGCTTTGAGTCCTGTGCCTTTTTATCCACCTGAGAAAATTCCTTTGAGCTCCATTCCTTCAGTTTCTTTTTTAATGTCTTAAGCTTTTCCTTCAAGCAAAAACCTTTCCATCCCTGCACATCTGCTTTCTTCCACGTTTCTTCAACTAAATTTTTGCAATCATGGTGCTGCAGCCAATCATCAAAGAACTTAAATGGTAGAGGCCCCCAATTGATATGCTGATTTTTTAACAATATTGGGCAGTGATCAGAAATGGAACGTTTGAGTCCCCGCTGTTGCAGATCACACCAATTGACCATCCAATCTTCAGACAATAAAAATCGATCCAACCTACTCATTGCTGCACCATTAGGTTTGCACCAAGTAAATTTTCTCCCTATCAATGGAAGATCCACCATCTCCATCTCCCTAATAAAACTGTCAAAATCCCTCATCCCACTTGTCAAGTCTCTATCACCATTTCTTTCATGTGGATTCCTCGTCGTGTTGAAATCCCCCATCAGGCACCAGCACCCCCCTTTGCTTCTCATTAAATTTTTCAACTCATTCCACAGGATTTTTCTACCAGTAGCTTCACATGGTGCATACACATTCAATAGATTAACTGCAATTTCCTCTACACCCCATACACCAAAAACACAAATGTAGTGTTCCCCTTCAATCACACTGCAGTTTTTTAACACCTTACTATCCCAAATGCAAATTAAACCTCCCGATTGCCCTCTGGAAGACTTAACAATGAAATCAAAATCATTTGTCCCCCAAAGAGCTTTGCATACTTTCTTATCAATATCTTCTCTTTTTGTCTCTTGAAGAGCCAAAAAATCCACCTTCTCCTTCCTCACTAAATCTCTTATCTCTGTTCTTTTACCAGAACCCCCTAACCCTCTGACATTAAAAGACAGTAAAATCATGATAAAATTCTACTAACCTTCCCACCTTCAGCAGCATCCTTCTCAAGGCGTTGCCTCCTGGCTGTGCTATCTCGAGTTTCCATATGATCTATCTGATTAATAATTTCCTTATCATTCCCAATGGCCACTGCTCCAACTTCTTGTGCAAATTTCCATATCTCCGTTGCCAATCTCGTTCTCGACTTCACATTAGCCCTTTTGTTACAATTCGCAATTGCACTATCTGAAATAGATTCCCCTGCAACCGGTTTACTAGAATTAGGGATGAATTTTGGTATCTCCTTCCCTAACTTCTTCTTTAAATTAGATCTCCCCTTCTGATTTGTCTTCATTTTATCCGCCTCAACAATTGGGGATTCTCTGTACACCGACAAACACAAACGCGACTTCTTATTTCCTTGCTTCTTCTTTTTCCTTTTCATCATGTCATATCTATTCATCCAATCAGCAATAGGCCCCGAATCACTTCCAAAACCTTCCCAAAAAGAGCTCTCCGCTCGTCCTCCATCAAGAGCCTCAGTAGCTGACTCCCTTAGAAAACCAGACTTCGCCGCTGATAACTCTCGTGAGTCAATACTTGGGTGTATGCCATTATTTTGTGTTTGGGTTTTAGCCACAATGATTTCTTGGGCCATAGATCCATTACCTTCTGTTATTTCATTCCTGTTCGAATTGGTTTGGCCCATGACCAGGCCCAAAGGTTTCATATTATCTAGCTCAACTTTCTTCCTCTCCATTATAGCACCTTCACCTGTCACCTCGTCATTATTACTTTCTGGCACTATAACGCTCCCTGCCGTATCTTCTAAAGATTTGTCTTCCATGCA